TTTCCTCAACAATCTCATCTTCCTCATATTCAACCTCTTGATGCGTTATTTCGATATTAGACAGCTTTTCAAGATTTGGGCATGAATTTCGCATGCATGTCATGTTATTAATGCCGACATTAACAAAACTGAAATGAAAATAAAATGACAGGAATTAGGAAAAGGAAAAGATAGGAAACTTAATAGGAAACTGAACTGCATTTTATGAATTCGAAAGGATAGAAGGGTTAACATCAAAACAAAACAATCATCCTGAGATATTTGGATTACAACCCTGAAAGTAACCCAAAATACAAAAAAGAAGCTGCAAAAGCAGACTACCAAGACTCCTTCCTTGTGGGGAGAGGAGTTGTTTCCCAGTTGGTGAGCATGGTGTCTGGGTCAATTAGTTGCACATTGACACGACTAGTGCCTTCACCAGCCTGGATCATATTCACTTCAGAAAACATCTCGCTGAGGTCATGGAAATTTTTATCAATGTTTGCATGCGCCGAGGAATTTTGACCCTCTCGGAGTCGTGGCTTGACAAAAGTGTAGAAAATATGAGGGATAGGCTGTTGACCCTCTAGGAATTTTGTTTTTGTCTGCTTGTGTTGGCATGAAGCCTAAGCCAAAAGTACCCTGGTTGCCTAACGGAGCAATAGGCTCTGAAATTCCTTACAATGATGCCCCCAAACCTTTTCCTGGCTCATAACCTTTTCTTATCATAACCGTAGCCACTATTACAGATGTGGCGGAAAGACGAGGATGCAGAATGGGCTTTCCTTCCTCGACATGGTTCACAGCAACCACTTCAAAAGCCTGATAGACAATGGACTCAGACCCTTCCTTGGCCTCAATACAGGGGATTAATGGGTCTTTATAAATGGAAGACTTGTCTTCTCCGTGAACAATAATTTCTTGCCCGTCATGTTCGAATTTGAGTATCTAGTGCAAGGTGGATGGCACAGCTCGGGCTGTATGGATCCATGGCCTTCCAAGAAGAAAGTTATAAGAAGTGAGCATGTCCACTACTTGGAAAACAATCTCAAAGTCCACCGGCCCAATCGTCATGGTGAGGTTAATTTCCCTCATGGTATCTCTCGCTGAGCCATCGAAAGCCCGGATGCGAATATTGTTGGGTCGGATTCTGTCCGTATTGATCTTCATACTTTAAAAATTAGAGAGAGGGCATACATCTACACTTGATCCTTCATCAACCATGACTCTCTTTACATAATGCCCCTCACATTTGACCATCAAGTTCAAATCCCTATTGTGCCCGGCACCTTCCTCGGGAAGTTCATCATCGGTAAATGAGATTCTTTTTACCTCAAAAAATCTATTGGCCATCTTCTCTAACTGATTCACTGTGGTCTCCTACGAGATATGTGCCTCGTTCAGGACCTTGATTAGTACACGAGCATGCTCTTTGGAATGTATGAGCAGAGATAGTAGAGAGATTTGGGCAGGAGTCTTTCTTAGCTGGTCAATGATTGAGTAATCCTGAGCTTTCATTTTCTTCAAAAACTCTTCTGCCTCTGCTTCAGTGACTGGCTTCTTTATTGGCAATTGGCCTCCTCTGATTTGCTTGGCCTTCATCAACTCTTCTAGAGAATAACACCTCCCCGATCGAGTCAAACCTCCAGTTTTCCCCACTTCCTCTATGATTTCCTTGCCTTTGCAGGTCATCACAGTTTTGTTGTAGTTCCAAGGAACAATTTTTGTGTTTGTCACATGGGGTTGCACGATAGGTTTGATTATGATCGGCTTTGTTATGCCATTCGTACCGCCCTGATTCTGCCTTATGATGGAGTGGCCTCCAAGGACATACAACCTTGGGCTTGGAACATTGGAGTAAACCTCTAACATCGAGACCTTGGGCACAAATAAAGTTACCTTTTCTAAGTTCGGTGCGCCTTTCACAATCAACGGCACATCTCGGCTTGGTCTTACTTCTAGACTTGTTCCTTCTTGAATTGCTCCCACTATCATTTCTGTTTGGTCGACCGTCTTGTATTCCTGATCTTGGCTAATCATTCCCACGAAATGAACATCATTGTGTTCCGGCAACGGTTGTTTGTCACATTAGGAGGGTCCTCGCCATTCGTTACTACAATTAATTTTTCAGAAATGAGTCTTTCTATGGCTCCTTTCAGAGTCCAACAGTCATCGGTGCTATGCCCCGGGGCACCTGAATGATATTCACAACTAGCATTTGCTTGAAATCCATGTGAATTCGGATGCATGTGGTGGGGAGCAATGGGTCCAATCACGCCCATTTGCTTCAGCTTCTGGAATAGACTAGAGTATGATTCAGCCAATGGAGTGAATTTTTCTGCCGGCCTCTGCTCTCGACCATAATCCTGCCTGGGACGAGCATTATAGGGTGCCCAAAATTTTTGTTGCTGAGGTCGGGGGCCCCTTGGAGCTGGTGCCCGTACCTGCTAATTGGGAGGCCGAGCATATGATTGAGCATTGAACACTGTATATTGTGGTGGGCCCACAGAGTATTGAGGAATTGGCGGGGGATAGTAATGTTGAGGGTAGCTGGATCGCCCCTGCTGAACTTGCACGTAAGGGTGCGATGCCCCTCTTTGAACTTCCCTAGATCCCGAGGTCATCGTAGAACCTTCATCTCTCTTTTTCCTATTTGCAAAACTTCCCGACCCATTTTGGATCGCTTGGGTGGTGGCTTTGAGAGCAGCCTGACTTACAATTATGCCAGTCTTTAGGCCATTTTCGACCATTTCCCCTATCTTGATTGCTTCAGCAAAAGGCCTACCCATTGCAGACATCATGTTTTGGAAATAATCAGGCTCTTGAGCCTCCAAAAAGACAGTGATCAACTCATGATTATCCATGTGCAGCTTAACTCTGGCCGCTTGCTCCCTCCACTTGATGGCGTACTCCCTAAAGCTTTCCGTCGGCTTTTTCCTCATATTGGATAGGGAATTGTGGTCTGGTGTAATATCAATGTTGTATTGGAATTGCTTGACGAAGGCCTGGGCCATGTCATCCCAAACATGCTAGTGAGAGATGTCTTGGTCAATGAACCATTCGGAAGCTACCCCCACAAGGCTTTCCCCAAAGTAAGCCATCAGCAGCTCTTCCTTTCCTCCTGCACCCCTCAGCTGGTTGCAGTACCTTTTCAAGTGGGCGATAGGGTCGCCGTGTCCATCATATTTCTCAAATTTTGGGGTTTTGAACCCTCGTGGAAAATGGATATAAGGGAACATGTATAGATCACTGTATGAAACACTTTTGTGACCACCTAGTCCCTGTATGTTCTTTATATTCTGTTCAAGACTTTTCATTTTCCTGGCCATCTCATCTGGCTCAATCGTCGTGGCAGGCATTTCATTTTCCACTGATGATTCATATTGAGGAGTCTGATTGTATGGATCCGAGACCCCAAAAGCCATATTCGGAGAATAGTATTGTCCATCATAAGCATGAGATGGTGTCTCATTATTTGGCCTCATCACAGGAGGTGGTGGCGGGATTGTATATACCGGTACGCTAGACACGACGAGAGGGGTGTTCCTGACCGGTGCGACTGGAGGTCGCATATTAGAGGTACTGGGGGCAGCATGAAGGCTGTAGTTCGGTACATACCCTGGTGGTAGAATGAGGTCGCTCGTTGCATGGAGCGGTGGTTGAGTAGCCTGGGGTATGGTGTAAGTTCCCTCTAAGGGACCCTGGGGTGGAGGTCGACCGGAAACCCAAGCTTGATATACATCTGACAGTTGTTGTCTCAATTTTCTTATCTCCTCAGACTCTTGCTCAACTGACTGACCCTGCGGATTGTCACTGACCAACTCGATTTCATCACTGTTATCCATTACTACTGGTCCCTTAGATCTTGTGAAGTAATGATGTGCTGCCAGATTTACCACAAACCAACCACCTTAAACTTACTGGTTTAAGAGCCAACAAACGTGTTAGGGTTAGGCATTTTATAGATATGAATTACACGTAATATGTCATGCTCCTAACATCGCTACCATTTCTAAAATGCTTTTGGAAGGCTTCAATGTTTCATTCCGGCCTATCAGCTTGTTGCTTATTGACACTGTTATTTCCTTCTTCTTCTTTTTTCTTCTTTTTTTTATTATTTTTTTTCACTCGCCTTATTTGATCCCTTACTTTAGAGCCATTTTAAAATGAATACTTGATCGAGCCTTTTGTGGGTTGCCTACGTATCATGTTGCTGCATGAATCAGATCATTACGTAGTTCAGATATGCAAGACACTTGATTTTTTTTTTTTTACAAAACAAACATCAAAAACTTTTTCATTGATTTTCGATATAATATTTTGATACAAGACTCAAAAATCAAGAGTTACATAAAGATAAATGAGACCAAACCTGACTCAAATAGTCTTTTTAGAATAAAAGTCAAAACAACACCAAAAAACTCTTATAGACTTAGAAACAACAAAAGCATAATGAAAAGGACTGATAACTAAAAGAAGACTTTGATCTCTGCAGTAGAATCCACCAGCATTACTGTAATCAAGGCTCTTGTTCCTGCGGCTGACCCCCAACATTACGGTATATCCTTTCCAAGTCTGCAGATATATGATGAGCAACGTTCAATGATACTTCTGCAAACCGCTCGAGCGTCATGCCCTGACAACTCCTGCATGCTCTTGAGGTATATGTGGCTACCTCAAGGATCTTTCCCTTAATGTATTCCTGAGCCACATGCAGCTCTTGATTCTGCCGACCACGGGTCTCAGCTAGATCCAGCACATCACGCTTGCGGTCCAAGGCCATATCTTTCTAGCGCCAAACTTCTAGTGACTCCGCTTCTAATTGATTGATCACCTTTTGGTAGTGGTGTCTTTCTATTTCAAACTCCGCAATCTGGCTCTCTTTGCTTGACTCAACTCCCCCTATCTGATCCCCCAGACCTTGGAAATGGAGCGAAACCTCTACGTTCATGATCACGGACTACCCTGAACTGGGCTTCTTTCTCTTCTTGTTGCTGAGCGGTTGTGACTATGTTTTTCTTTCAAATTTGGGCTTTGAGTGCTTGCTTCTCTCGTGCCCACTGAGCCGTTTCCCGCTCAAAATCAGCTTGTTGTACGTCAATGGCTGTCTCCAGAATGCCCTTATCTTCTTGTAAAGTGTCAATACGAGATTGGAACTCTTGCATCACTTCCCTTCTGGTTTCTCTAACTCTGACCTCGATCTCTCTCTCCCAATCATTTGCGTACCGTATGGATCTCTCTGTCCTTTGCTCGGGGATAGCCTGGTTGTGAAACCACTCAAGGTATGCGAGGCTTACCTCCCCACGTTCATGATCAGCTACCATCTCGTCTAAATCGGAAAATCGACTACCAAACCAAATCTTCTGTGCATATGACTCCCTTGGAGGTTCCTCTCCCTTGAATTCCCACATGAACGGGCGCATGTCCTCAATCGGGGGCCTCTTTTGCCCTCTCCCTAACTGGCGTATGACGCTTAAAGGTGCGTAGGGTTGGAAACCCCTAAAACCCATGAGTATGAAGAATGGGCGATATGTCGACATATGCATGACCCTAGAAGAAGGGAACCAATAATAGTTCCAAGTGATTTTATCAGCACTCAATGAACCAAATAATGTCCGCCAAGCCCTCACCCCCTCTGGAAGATTACAACTCGCAGCTCTGTCTGGGTGACATCCAATGTAATTCAGCCAATCATCATTGAAATTTACTACTATTGGATGATGATAAAGGTGCTTTATGAACCACATCTGCAGCAGAATGTTGCATCCCTCAAAGTAATCTTCACCTTCTTGACAATGGGTCAAAGCTCGAAAAATATCTCCCAAAATCATGGGAAGAATGGTATGATCCTCTACCGCAACCAATCGAATTCTGATGCGCCCACCACGCTCCGGAAAGACCATGATCCCTAGAAATGATATCATGAACGCGAAGATTCTCAACTCCCTCCAAGCGTCGTAACTCAACTGGTTGACAAATTTTGTGCCCGAGAAGTTCTCAAACCCTTTCTCATCCCAAAATCTGTTATAAAAATATTCCGATGGAACCCAACCTTCGTTTAAGCAAACCATTGGAATTCGATGGCATAACTTCTTTAAAAAGTTGTTCACACCAACTTTTCTCGGAGCAGCAGGCCTTTTCCCACGAAGGTCTCTCCCCAATCCGGTGAACCCACCTAATTCTTCCAATGTGGGTGTCATTTCACAATCTTTGAACCTGAAGACATTGTTCGCGGGGTCCCAAAAACCTACTAGAGCCTCAATTAAATCTCTGTTAGGCTTAATTCCCATGAGGTTGGTGAGGAACTTGAGGTACTTAAATACTCGATTCCATTCCTATGTAGCAAAACTAGCCCACCAATTACAGAGACTACTCGGGGTCTTATCTCTGATCAAGAACATAGGGGGTGTCTTGTCCCTTACCCTTTTTTGACTGCTTCTTTGGGGAGAACTCATAGTGATCCTAAGAATAAGATAAAAAAAGGGTTAGGACTTACCTAAACTATATGCAAATTATGATCATTCATTATTTTATTTTATTTTCTGGTCAATTTAGGACTCGATCTATTTTTTTTAATTACAACATATATTTTGAAATTACCGGACACAAAAGTTGAGATGATAAAAGCGAAAAAATGGCTATTATTACAAAAATGACCCTTTAATACTTCCATAGAAGGCATAAAGGATGTCTCGGAAAAAACAACCAAACACATGAACAAAACAATAAAAATAGACAAAATAATAATAAAAAAACTATTTTTACGCAAATGACCCTTTGCAATATGAGTATAACCAGATAAAAATAGCTACTTTTTGCAAAAACAATCTTTCCGGAAAGGTTTAAAGTTGCTTCGACAAAAATGGTCAGACATAAGGGCAAAATGGTAAAATGTGAATAAATATGGATAAAGTAACTATTTTTAGAAAAATGGCCCTTCAGCACTTCCCAGGAAGATTTTAAGGTTGTCTTGGCAAAACAGCTGGAACATGAGGGCCAGACAGTAAAAGGTGACCAAAATAGGCTTTTTTTTTTGAAAATTTTATGCTCCCTTTTTTTTTGAAACATGTGGGATGAACCCAATGGAGGTTGCCTACGTATCTCACATCCGGTGAGAATCAAACCCGCGTAGTTCAGTTGTCACGACCCGATCCCCGAACCCGGTCGTGATGGCGCCTCTCGTGAAGACAAGGCCAGCCAGACCAAAACGGAACACCTCTTTTAAACATTTAATCATCATAAACAGTAATAACATATAATATAATGCTCATAAATTGCGGAATTTAACGATAATAACAGCAGGAACCATCCCGACAGAGCCCAAACCGGGGTGTCACAAGTCATGAGCTACTACAGAATCTACTATAGGTCTACAAAGTACGGAATCCGATACAACAGTTTGAAGAAAACATAAATGATAGAGGATAAGAGAGTCAAGGGGTTGCGGACGTCAACAACTACCTCGTAACTCTAAATCACTGCCTAGCCTGGAAGGAATCAGCGCTCAGGTGCGAACTCTGCTATACCTGAATCTGCACACATGGTGCAGAGAGTAATGTGAGTACTCCGACTTAGTGAGTAATAATTACAAATAATAGCTGAAAGTATGAAAACACGTAAATGCACAAAGCAATTCCATATCAAGCAGTAAAATCACTTAAAGCAGTAAATCATTGAAGAAATCAAATGATATTCCTTTTTAAAACAAGTAAAATAGGTAATTTAACAGGTAATTAACAAGTAGAAATCCGCCCCTCGGGCACAGTATAAATCGCTCAGCATAGTATCAGCCCCTCGGGCTTACTCTCAGTACAGTATCAGCCCCTCGGGCTACCTCACAATCACTCAGCATAATGGTCAGCCATTGTTACCTGACCAAATTGCATCATACAGTGTCATTGTTACCACTGTTTCAAATCACATGGGTACCCGCGCTCACTGTGGGTGTGCAGACTCCGGAAGGGCCCCTTACGGCCCAAGCGCTATATCAAGCCACCTCGTGGCATCATCACTCAGCATATCCTCACATCACTCAAGCCACCGCATGGCATAAATAGTATCTCAGGCCCTCGGCCTCATATCACTCAGCATATCCTCACATATGGCCCTCGGCCTCACTCAGTCCAGAAATCATCATAAGCCCCTTGGGCATTAGTAAAACAGTAGTTCTCAGCCCAAAACATGATGTAGAAATATCATTTAAGTTTCAAATCCGAGTAAAAGTGGCTGAGTTTGTAAAACAGTAGATATCAACAGGATTGAGTTCAAATAATAAGTCAAGTAGTGAGGAAACAGTGAAAAAATCCCCGAAGGGTCCAAATAGTTGGCACGACGCCCAAATATGGCAATCAGCCCAAATCATGATGGTAACAAATGAATTTCAGTCAAATATTCGGTAAAATCATCAATCGGGATGGACCAAATCACAATCCCCAGTAGTGAAGACCCCACGCTCATCATCCAGCGCGTATCTTGCCTCAATATAGCACTACGATGTGCAATCCAGGGTTTCAAACCCTCAGAACATCATTTACAATCATTACTCACCTCGAACTGGCTAATTCTCATGCTCACGACGCCTTTTCCCCTTGAATTGACCTCCACGTACATCGAATCTATCCAAAATCAGAACGAATACGTCACAATATGCTAAGGGAACAAAGCCCAAGCGAAAACATTCGAAAAATATCAAAAATCTCGAAATTAGCAAAACCCGAGCCCCGGGCCCACGTCTCGGAATCGGGTAAAATTTACATTTTCAGAATCCTCATACCCTCACGAGTCTAACCATACCAAAATTATCCAATTCCGATACCATTTGGTCCTTCAAATCATCATTTTACATTTTTGAAAGGTTCCACAATTTTCTTCCCAAATTCCATCTCAAATCACGAATTAAATGATGAATTCAGTGATAGATTCATGTACTCTAACCAAATCTGAGTTAGAATCACTTACCCCGACCAATTTCTTGAAAAACCTTCGAAAAATCGCCAAAATCCGAGCTCTTTAGGTCAAAATATCAAAAAAAACCCAAAACCTCGTATTTATAGAGTACCCCTCGGATTCCGACACCGCTGACCGCACAAAAATGACCGCGGTCCGCGCAAAACCAGCGGGGTCCGCGCAAAAACGACCGCGGCCGCACAGGTCTTGCTCTGCAGGGACAAGATTTAGTATTTTGGTCATAACTTTCGCTACAGATGTCCAAATTGTGATATCTTTACCTTTCTGGAAACTAGACACGCAGGGCTACAACTTTTGTTTTTGAATCACCTCAAAATTCCTTCTGGATCAAAAGATATGAGCTTCTGGAGTAGGACCAACAACCTGCAGTCTTCACGACCGCGGCCACTTTGACGTGGCCAGCACTAGGCCAGCGCGCCCAGCGCGAAAAGGAGTGCGGTCCGCGCCAAAACTGCCGCTCCCTCCATTTTTCTAAGTTCCGGGGTGTCCATACTCGCTCAAAACTCACCCGAAACACACCCGAGGTCCCCGGGACCTCAACCAAAAGCACCAACGCATCCTAAACATTATTCAACCTCGTTCCAATCATCAAAACACCTCGACTAACACCAAAATCATCAAATCACATCGAATTCAAGCCTATGAATCTCAAGAACTTCCAAATTCCATTTTTGATCAAAAACCCAACCAAACCACGTCCGAATGACCTCAAATTTTGCAGACAAGTCCAAAATGACATAACGAAGCTACAGAAACTCTCGGAATTCCATTCCGACCCTCGGATCAAAATCTCACCTATCAATCGGAATTCGCCAAAATACTAACTTCGCCAATTCAAGCCTTATTCTACACCGTACCTCCAAAACCACTTCCGATCACTCTCCTAAGTCACAAATCGCCTCCCGAAGCTAACCGAACCATCGGAACTTACATTCGAACCCTCTAACACATAAGTCAATATTTGTTTGACTTTTCCAACTTAAGCCTTCTTAAAAGAGACTAAGTGTCTCATTTCTTACCAAATCCTCTCCGAACTCGAACTAATAATCTCGATCCCATAAAACACGGATAACGAAGTGTAAAGAAGCTGAAATGGGGGAAATGGAACGGTAACTCATGAGACGACTAGCCGAGTCGTCACATCAGTAAAATAGGGTACTCTCCCCTTTTGTTTTTTAATGAAAATTAATCTTTACAACTCACACTAGACTACTACAATATATATTTAGAAAAGGTTTATTTGCACTAAACTAGGAGAACTATTCTCTTTTTTTCATTTTTAATAATTACACTAATTTTTTTTTTAAAACCGGTCGACAATGCAAGTAAGCCTTCCAAATGATGTATCAAGTAGAACATACGTGAACATGTTGGTCTCAAAGAGGATACCTGTCTTATACGGACCCGGCCCCTGTGCCGGGTTTCGCTAAGTCAAATGCACGTGATGCAAATAAAGCGAACCTACTAGGGATATCCGGCATGAGGCTTGTTCTTCTAGGTTTAGATCCTATTGGAGAAGGTATCTAGACTGGCTTACTCGAGCGGACAACT